AGTATCGAGCCGAGGAATCGCTTCGTGCAAGCCACGATCTTGACTAGGATTATATAATACCTAACACGACAAGACTTCAAGAACTCGACTTGCAAACACAAAAACCCGGGTAATTTGTGAAGACTACGGACAGATCTACATTCAGAGACATACTTAAACTTAAGACGAAACCTCCGAACTTGAAGTAGCCTTGTTTGCCTTGACACTGAGTTTTATTCACTTTTCATTTCATAAAAGCGCATTTTTGCCGACCTAAAATAGCAACAGTAACAAAAGATTTCAAGTGAAATAGAGATTGTATTTAGTTTTCATTTAATTCTAAATAATTTCTGTTTATCAAGTTTCTATATATTGTATTCTTTTGTTCTCAGTGGTTGCAGAAATCATATATAAGTGAGCTAGTTTAACTGTTTTATATATTTTTTGATTTCATCGTCGATTACATCGCGGATTTCAGAGCTGATTACATTGCCGATTACATGTATTTTGCCGTGTCCTGCCTGAATTATTGCCATTTGATCCGCAGAAAAATCGGGTGTTTTCACATGACGTCACTAAAATTCAAACCACAAAACTATCGATCCTACCGAGGTTTTACTTTCACGATGCATTAGAGCAACTGAAAACTAATTTTCATACAAATTTTCGCTTTAAAAGGGTTCTTGGTTTTGTGATAGATTACGCTTGAATTTCTAAGCTCTTGCGTGACACGGCATTTACATGACAGCCGAGACAGCTCAGTGCCATGTAGGTTTAAAAAATGATTTATTTCAGGGAATTTTGCTATCTAAACAGGTCACGTATTAGAAAAAGTATTACTTTAATGTTTATGAGGTTTTCGAAGAATGAATTCTCTCTTTTATAGCAAAACTGGGTAACAGATGTTTCTGTTGGTTTCCGTCCGCCATGTTGGAAACGCCATGCTGGTGCTCATCCGGTTGGGCCTATACAAATCTCTATAAAGTTGGGTAAAACATTTCTTCGGATATCTCGTATACGAAATATTCCTTTGATCTGAATCTTGGCGAGGGTCTTTGCATATTTACCTCCTTTCATTTCCAAGATTCTGGACTTTATCTATTGAACAGTTTTGATTTCTATTTTGATCTTTTTTGAATGGCGTGACACTGGAAACCAGCCATAAACGCTGTTGGAACCAAGTTTAGTCCTGTTTTATCTACTGCTGTACCAGTTAGTTGTTTGATCCCGTTTCTTCGCGAGTTGCCATTTGAGTCTAGTTTCCCCATTTTTATCGAAAGTTAAGCACCGAATTCCCATTGAGCTTTAAATTATTCTCTGAGTGGAAAAACCTTCCGTCACATGATTGAATCCAGACACGATTCCGCCGCGGAATACATGAGCTGTTTGAGGTAATGAACAAACTAAACTTGAGACCAGTTCAGGGAATGCAGAGAAAGGAAAAGAGGTGATTTTCACATTCTTTCTCAGGTTATCCTTAAACCAATCAAAGTGACATTGCGCTGTTTTCAATTAAAGTGACCTCACTGATTTTCGCGTTCTTGCCAATATTCGTCGACAAAAAAAGTCTATGAACAGTCTATAGTGACATAACCATTACTTAGCGTGCCGGCGTTTGTGTCAAGCTTGTTGATCCACACACCGAAAGTCGAATGCCATAATTTCTTACAGTTTATACTTATCGTACTAACTCGAAATAAGTTATCTGAATGACAAATAAAATTCAAGTGGCATATGTGTGCTTCGGGACTACCCTGTTTTCAAGGTGTTATTAACTTTTGATATTCTTGAGTTTACTAAGCATACCAGTTTCCCAAAAAGCCTTCAGTTAAGAAACCCTGCAATGCACTAATTTATTTTCTTACCTTGGTTGTCGGATCTCAGAGATATGAAATGGAGAAGACACCTTGAATGTTTTACTCCTTTCAATCAAAAATGACTGTATTCGCGGACGAGAGATTAGGTAATCTTCATTGATAGGATAGGCGTACCTAACACCATAAAATATTTATCCCCATAAAAAAACGGATTTCTCCTCACCAAGAACTAGATGAAAGGTTAGAAACTTGGTTCTTGCGTATAGCCAAGTAAAAAGCGTTTCGATTCTCAATAAAACCAGCTTGAGGTAACGTAAAATAGACCCGATTTGAATGATTCTATTGGTCGTTTCACTTCGTGTTAGAAGGCATGGCCACCCCAAAATTGGGCAAAGGAACCTGCAGTTTATAGGTATAGTAACAACAACTAGTTTAGTCTCCTGCAGAGCCGTAACTGGTTCGCTGCGCAACGACCCAAATAAAACTTCGGAGTAGACTAACACTAAATCTTCTATTTCCCAGCCAGGAGAGTGAATCATCACGCATCGGCACTTAGTCTATTGAAAACTCCGCTCCTCTTTCAAAGTGCGCGTAGGTAGTACGACATGTAAAAACGAAACCGGAATATCGGGCACTGTTTGGGCAGTGTTCTTTTCTTGTTAGATCAAAACACTGTCTATTAGGCGGTCTGCTACTGTATTTGATAACAGAGAGAGTTAATTAGAAGAGAAATTTTAAAAGATTCACCTTTACCGCAAACGGCGAACGTCAGAGTCAAGTTGAAAATTTCTCAGAATAGGAAATAAGCAAACAAAAACAGTCCCGAACGATTCCTATGGTTAAAACTGGCATAAAACTACTTATTTTTGTGTAGAAGCAATAAAGAGTTAACGGAAAATAAGGGGAAAACTTAGTCACGTGGTACAAATTCACGTCTGCCGTTTGGCGTAAACGTGAATCTCTCTAGAGTCATGTTTACGGGAAACGGCAGACGTGAATTTGAATTTTTCTTTCAGCCTCCAGCTTGGGAGACTCGGTAACCACTCCCTGTGTATTTGATGTTAAATAAATTAACTCATCTTATCTTATCTCAAAATAAAAGATGAGCGGATAAAAACAGCCCAAAACAATTCTTATGGATAACAATGACGTGAAACCACTTATTTTTTTGTTAAAGTAATGAACAATAAACGACCAGGCAAAGGAAAACCTTTTTCACGTGGTAAAAATTCACATTTGCCAATTGACGTAAACGTCACTCGAAATCTCTCTAATGATTGGTTTATGGGTTGCGGAAGTTCAAATGACGCTAAAAGATGTCACCAATGGATTTCCAAAGAAGAATCTGGGCCAATTTGGCTCTTAAGAGAGAGTCTCTTCTCCTTAGGGCCTATTCACATGAGCCCGGTTGATGAGCCCGTTTCACCTTGGGTTCATATGAGAAATTTCAGCCTGGTTTCCGAGATGAGAAGGCCGAAGACGAGTTGTGGCGCGAAATTCGGGAAACAAAGCAAACATGGTGAAACACAAAGTTGTAACTTTCGCGCCTGTTATAGCTTTGGAAACTCTGAAAGCTGTATCACTCTTGTCAAATGGGGTGCTTATGATGAAGAAAATACAGCGGCAAAGCAAGACAATGCAGAATTCATTCGAAGAACTCATCCCGGTAACAGGGCTGAACTGTTGAAATGGCCGCATTTCCAGCCCGCTTGCCAAGATCCCTGCTGGAAAAACCGAGATCTCGGCAACCGAGCCAGCCCGCCCTCTCATATGAACACATCCAAGATTTTACAAAGGATTTAGATAGGATAGGATAAGTGCTTTATTATAAAGAGGTTATTTTATTATTTAGAGGTAAGGTGAGATCTCGGAAACCGGGCCAGCTTAAGTGAAGAGGCCCTTAGAACATTTTCAAAAAGGAAGGAGAGGAGGTTTTATGTGGTCGAATTACCTACCCAGGGGAAGTTGCATCGTGACCATTCTCGAAAAATGTTAAGGTTATTTGTGAAAACCAAAAATTCAAAGAAACCAACATAGACATAAAACCAATTTATGACAAGTTTATTGCATTCAAAATAATGCTATCCTACATTTTTAGACCATCTAAGTAACCTATACAAAATATCAATGTTTGAGACATAACATTTTCCCTTGCTGATTGTCGTTTTAGAATCACGCGATGTCTACCTACCACTGCCCAACTCAGAAAAAAAAACGTATTACCACAGACAAGGCCGGGTAGAAGACACAACGAAAGGACGCTATGCCATAATGAAGAACACCTGCATCCATAGCGAACTATCCTGCTTCGGGGGTTCAGAAAACGGAGGCGCACGAACAAGGGTAACGTGAAAGAAAAATAGGGAGTCAGAGCGAGGGAGCCCCAGGGGTATCTAAACGCCGAAGGCTCGTTCCGGTATACCAGATCCTAGTATACCCTCTGATTGGTTGCTTTTAACATAAGTTCTTAACAATCGATTGTCCCCCTTTTCCGTTTGTTACGCCATGAAAGATATATTGGAGAACCCAAGTTGCCGTACATCGGTTGTCTCAATTTTCGCTTTCTAGAATGTTTGTGACCTTTCCCAATATAGGAAGGCAGATGAAAAAAGAAGGCAAAACTTGTGTGACTAGCGTGACAATACTTATGTTTAAAAAATTCCGCCAAACAACACCTTCCTTGAAACAAATCTGTTTGGGCCGTTTTGACACACAAAAGTTTTGTCCTTCTCGCGCAAATCGAGAAAATCGTGTGTAAAGAAGCAGCCATGTCTGGAAGCAGAACCAGCAGTAGACAACGCAAAAAATCGTATTCATGTAAAAAATCCGAATTTACAAACATTTTTAACCGGGCTCAGCCTGGCGCCAAGATAATTCTAAAAAATACATGTATTCTGTTTACTCCGCAGCAATGTTCAATTTAAGCTAATTTACAAAACTAACACACCTTTTCATAAAAACTGAAATTTGCACTTGAACAAACGCTACATATATTCCTGTTCAAAAATCGAGCTTCTTTTCCGAACAATCTAAACACTTAAAAGGTAGTGATATTCAATACTTGCTTCACGGGGAATTTTACATGAAAAGGATGATATTACCTCACTACATGTTCTTTGCATTAAACATGTATTGTTAAGTGCTCTATTGAACCTTAATTACGGAATTTAATCTTATCCAAAAAGCAAAACAGAAAAAAAAAAACAAATAAGATGACTTCTGCCATTTTTTATCATTTCCACAAGGCCCTAATCAAAAAATTACCTTCTGGTATATTTCTAACTTTGTAGCGTTTTACTAAAAATATTTTCTAAATTCCACTCACGCGTGTCAAGCAAATTACAATGTAAATACAACAACGCAGCCTTACGAGGACGTTATGGCTCATTTGTTGAAATTCAGGTCATGTCAGTTTACAAAATAGTTGTGGTTACACAAGCCTTTTACCTTCAACTGAGGTTTTGATAAATTTTACGTGCGATGTAACCACGGAAACGATCGAAGCAACCACGAAATGCGAGCTTTCAAGACGTTTACCTCACAGCTTCTGTGTCCCACCACAAAACCACAAAACAGCCAATCAGGCGAGAGGCTGTGAGATTTCCCGGGAAAAAGACGCACTGCACGCTTCGTATAGCGCGGGAAAAAAACGCACATCGAATGTACCTCGAGAGAAATACCGCTTGTGTAACCATGACTATTTCGACTGAAAATCACTGCGCAAGTATTGTTCATTTAATTGCAGCTATTTATGCTTTCCATAACTATATACTCTCAGCTATCTTTGTTATTCCATTGCGTCTTGTGCTGTGCACGGCCAAATCCTTCGTCGTAATTTCCCTTCATTTTGAACAGCTGTTTAAAGTGAGGTTTGCAATAAAGTTTTCCTTGCAGAGCAGCATAATTTCCAAGTCTGTGACAAAGAAAATCAAAAATTACCCCATTACACTTTTAACGAATGTAGCAAAAACCGGCTGATGTCCCCTCCCCTCCTCATAGGCCACTTTTGCGTCATGCGGAGGCTGAAGAGAGATGAAAGGAGAGCTTGCGGGAGATGTCACCCAGAGCAAAAGTAGAAAAGAGGCTCTCGTATTTCCTATCATCTTATGGTGCGTTCGACTGAGCGTATTCTAGAATAAGAAATGCATAGAATTAACTCTAACAATCTTTTGTTTAGGTTTTCTTGCGGGGAAAATTCAGAAATATGGTGGGAAATGCTACATCCCAACGTTCCAAAAATTTGAAGAGATTTGAGACAAGTTTATACGAATTCTCTTATTCTGGAATACGATCAATTATTCGAACGCGACCTTACTATCCATTGCGCATAAAGTGCGCTTATTTTAATAGTAAATTAATTCTATTGGACAAGATGGGGAGTATGTTAGCCAATCACATGGCAAAATTCGTGATAATATGCTAGCAGCGTAATTCCTTTCAGTGTTTACTCGTGGAGAACCTTGTAAAGGAGAGAGGGAGACTGATAACTCAAGACATGTAGGTTAACAAAAACACCACTAGAATATAATGAATAAACAAATTCCAAAAAAAAAATAACAGTTAACATCGTAATAATAAAAATACTAAGATCGTTCAACAAAAGAAGGCATCACGTCTTGCTTAAACTCTTGATAACACAGAACATTAAGGCATGCACATAAAAGCTAGCACACATATAACAATGAATACACATACAAACAAACAACCTGAGAAAACAACCAACAATTCCTGACGCCACCAGTGATTTCCCTTGGAAATGACGTCTGAGTAACTAGCGCAGAAATTCCATACTGAAGACGCGTCACAACCCAGATCTGGGTAGTGCCTATGATTGGTTGAAGTACATTTCCCACGCGCGACGACCAATCAGAAGCACTTCCCAGGTCTGGGTAGTGACGCGTCATTAGTACGGAACTTCTGTGCTCGTTTCTCAGACGTCATTTCGCGGGGAAACTAGTGGTGGCGTCTCAAAAAGTCGACTGTTTCCTTAACTCATTAATCTATCAAAGGCTGCATAGGCAAATTCCAGATCATTCATGATTCCCACATTCTTCGTACAACAGATTGAGACAACATCGTCAAGTTATTGAGATCCTCCTATACTGTCCCTATATTGCTCCTATATTGTTTGTTCCTGCCTGTCTCACCTTTAATCAAAGCGTTGGAAGTTTGACACTCTAGCTTCTAAACAAAAGTAACATGTTAGTTTCAGAACCAAACATGTTGATGTCTTGTGATCGGCGAACATGAGATGACACCAAAATGATGAGCTGAACAGTGAGGTGTTGATCAAGCAGGAACAAACACGAACGACACAATGCTATTATTTCTCTCTCGTTTTTTTTCCTTTTTTAACGCAACTGAGTAATCTGACTTAAGTTTCGTTCCTTAATCTTTTTCTGTCAACTCTTCTTTTACCAGTATATTTAAAAAAAAAAAAACATTATATGTTTTTATCACATTCGTAATACTACATGTAATTTGCAAAATTTCAAATTCACAGGTGCATTGAATGTTTCTTAAACACTTAATCTGACAATTATTAATTATTACCCAGAAGAATGATTATTATTAATATTTAGAAGATTTTTGGGCCTGAAATCAGATCGTAAAAGGTTGATATTGCCTGTTATAGATGCATATAAGTTATTGACACCGGTTTCTTGAAAGGTCGTCAGTGCTTCTGTGCATGCAAGCTGTTTACGTCATAACTTGATGAAATTATATTTTCTGTTCCACGGCCCTATGAATATTTCCTATGTAATCAACTGCAGTTACCTCTGTATGATCTCCAAGTAAATAAAACTTAACTGTATAAACATGAAATTTACATTGCTTCAAAGATTAGATCAGCTGGTTTAGTAAATCAAAGGTTCAGCAACAAAAGAAGAAAATCTCACTTAGATTCTTAAAAGACACATTATAGTGTTTTCTAGATAGACTGGATGTGCAGAAACTTCTCAAAAAATTATAAGAGTATTACGGTAATACTAGAGGGTTTATTTTACTGGTCCCAGAGTTAAAGCATGGGTCATTAAAAGACCACAACACCTATTTATTTGCATGGGTGTCAACAACAGTGAAAGAAAAACCTGAACTTCTGCTATGGGAACCATGTGCAAATTATGAAGAAACAGAATGCAGGTGGTGAAAAACTGAACAAACGAAGCAACAACTGTGCACAATGTGATTGAGTAAAAGGACAAACTACATGACTGAACATTTGTATGTACATGTTTAGTCACTCTTTCATTAACTTATCCATTTCTGTCTACCCTTCAAGCCCCTGATATCCACACACAAATTCTTGAGACTGATCTCCATATATTACTTGAGAGAATGTTTGAAAAAAGGTCAAAGTATTTTCCCTTTGGTGATCAATTTATTATTTCTCATACACTTTTCTATTGATGATGTAGTGACATTGTTAGGAGAAATTGTTATTGTTGGTTGCTTTTTGGACTCGAAGGGTTGACAGCTGTACTAACTTAGCACGTGCCCATCAAACCATACTAAACGTACTTTGTACTTAAACTGTAACAACCAGTAACATCTAATTAAAGAATCATGGGTTATGGGTTCAAATAAGAACAGTGCAAAGGGGTTTCAATTTTACCTCTCTCAAATATGCCAAGGGATCTCCCTAATCCCATTCCCACTATATGGTAAAGCCTGTATCAAGTTCGCCTCATTTTAGTTGAACACCCCACATTAAACGGATAATAGCCCTTAATGATTCTTCCCCTATTTTCCATTAAAAAAATTGAGCTGACATCTCTCTGAAGGGGATGCCAGAGAAGGTCCTGTGGCAGTCCACTCAAAACAGGCTTCAGTGACTGTACTCGTACAGTACTGCTCAAAACTAACTTACCACCCCCTTACTACGCACGAATCGTGTTGTATACTACACGATTATTGTTGTGTTCTACATGATTCCTGTAGTAGCACAGGACGAGAATCTCGCTATAATACTCCTGGCCCTCTTAGAGGGATTTGACTCTAGTTTGCATGTACATACACTGTACATGTGGAATTTATTTACAGAGGAAATTTTCAATCATCTGAGCAGCTGGAATATGAGTTTTTATACCTTTTTTATGTAACATCCATGAACTCAACAGCAGTTTTTCATGATAAAGTACAATAAGAAAAACCTACGTGTAAATTACAAGATCATTGCCAACACTACAATAAATCCTCTGAAGCAAAGCAATAACTAAGATGCCTAAATCACTCTCATGAAAGATGCACTGTTTTGAAAGATACATGTAGTTTGTAACAAAAGGGTTTTGGGATCAGCTACCTCAAGACTAAGTTGGTATATGTAAGCAATACAATCATGTCTACATGGTGTAGCAGATGCAGTAGACTATGAGCAGTCTCCCTTTTTTCTTGGTCAGTCAAGCGAAATGTGCAAGCCAAGAAAATGACCACGCGCATGATTGGCGCCTCGTTTCTCAAGTTTCCCAGCTTCGCCACTTGACCCTCGGGTGTGCGTGCACTCCCCTCACTAAATCTGAAGAAAGAGACTGCTTGCAGTCTACAGATGCATAGACAATAAGAAATTTGTGTGTACATACATGTCTATGGTTAATCATAAGCTTAACCTTTGTTAGAAAAAAATAACAATTATAGAAAACTGGACAAACCTCAAAGTAGACTTGCACTCCGCACACTTAAAGCAGGTCTTGTGGAACACCTTCTTGTCAGCAGAAAGTCTCTCCATTGGATAAACAGTCTTGCTACAAGAATCGCACTTCTCTTGCTGTGGAGCTCCCCAGCGGCGAACTCTCTGTTTACATGATGTCAACATAACCATTAATAAAACTAAAATATTACAGGTGTTACAGTTTTAACAAAAAAGTACTACTTTGGAACAATGTAATGTGATATATCTAACAGGCGAGAGGCCCACTACCTGGTTATAAATTTTCCTTAGTTTCGATCTCTAGCAACTGCAGTGTAACAAGCTCCTGCCTTATGAAAAAACAGTGGTCTAAGGTCAACTTTTTTTTCAAAAAAAACTTTAGGTTACCAAAATGTATTGCCTCTAGACATCAAAATATTGGTCAACAGCAAAAAAAGCAATGACTTTGCGCAATATTACAGTCCTGTAGATGAAAGGTTTAAAGAATTTTTGGGATGCATATGACATCTCCAGGAGGAAAATGGCAGGTAAATTACATTTTACGCAAAACTAATTGTTAACCACAAGACAATTAACAATAAGAATATGTATTGAAACTGCTTGGAAATCTTGTGGCAACCTCAAAATGTTTTCTTGACTTTTAAATCACTTTGCAAAGAAACAAGAGTTGGTTTTCCCTCAAGCAGGCCCAGTAAAAAGGTGCAATAAAAAAAGGATTACAGCATAAAAGAAAAGAAATACAGCATTTCAGGGTAAAATGTGTGATAAGAAAGGTCCATCTTGGTCTTTTATGTAATCTGTTTGACTGCCATCTTGGACTATGGCCTATTCAATGGCCGCTCAATTATCAAGAACAATCAAAGGTTTCAAATGCCTACTATAAGGCTTGTTGAGTACTAACCCCAAAATAGAATTAACCTTGCAAAAATATTTTTAGTCAAAGGTTAGAAATCATTGTTAACTTTACTTGAATTGGGCAACTTTCCTCAAATTCTGCTCAATTTTCTCAAAATTTTCTGCCTTTTCCCTGACCATGAAAAAAGTTGCTTTTCTGTGACTTTACCATGAATGGGAAACTGTGCATTCAACTAATCTAGCAGAGTCACCAGGGCTGCCAAGTCACTGCTAAAGCAGTGAAGAGAGTTGTAGCTAACCACAAACACACGAGAAATAATTCTACAAAGACAAACTCCAAGAATTACATACCCTACATGTATTTAACCCTTTAAACCTAAAGATCCACATACAAATTCTCCAGACTGATCTCCATACATTTCTTTTAAGAATGGTTGGGAGAATTCAGTTTAAGATCAAACAATTTGTCGCCTTGGTTATCAATTTAATAATTCTCATAACCTTTACTCTTGATGATCTGTCGACATTATTATGAGAAAATTGATGTTGGTCACTCTTGGAACCTCAAGGGTTAACCTTGATAACAAAATACCATATAACAAATTAATGATAAAAATTAAGCTATAAAAAAATAGTCCTTGCTTAAAAACATGTTTTAGGCAAATAAGGCAAAATATAATTTCCTAATTGATGAGATTTCTGATTCAAAGCAAAGATCACCAAGGGAGCAATGAACCCACTCCTACCTCATTGTCACCACCAGATTCTCCATCATCTCACTGACTCCTTCAGAATATTAACTCGGCATAAGTAAGTTTAAAAAGCTTAATTCAGGATCAGCTTTAATTAGTAATTAGCTCATTAAGATAAATAGAGATATTAATACATTACTGCATGTCTAGCAATCTGCTCACACGGGAGAGTTAGGCGAGAGTTAGTTGTTGACAGTTGACTGTTTGCAAGACTGGGTCATTAGAAAACTTGCACTCACTCACTTACAATGTATTTCAGAGCATGTGCTGCTAAGCTATTTTGACATGTACAGTACAACGTCAAGAGTATTAAAATAAAGCAGAACTAAAAGACCTTTAGCACGTTAGCATAAATTATGCATTAAGCATTATTAGCACATATTGGTGCATTATGCAAGTAGTATTAGATGCATTAGTTACCCAAAATTAACATCAGTCTGACATGCAATCCAACCATGGGAGCATTTCACACTAAAAATTTCTTGCTTCACAAGCGAGTTTTTCTAATATCAATGCAACTGTAATAAAAATGATGACTTACAGGGGAGGAGGTGGGTGTATTTGACATGTCCTTCTCCTTCCCACCAAACGTATTTAGGGTATCTTTTGTATTCCGAGGACGGTGAGCATTGCTGTCTCCATGGTTACTACCTTTTGATTTGAAACTATCTGTTTCATCAAGTTTTCCTTCTTGTGAGGATTTTCTAACCTGAAGTGAAACAATAAAGAATGATGGTTTTGCTGAAAAAAGGAAGAATATTAGAAACTTAGCCCACCTTCAGCTTGCAGTGTACAATCTCCATGAAGAAACGCTCACTGACCCTTTCTTTGTTATATCAAAGTGGCAGGTTAATAAGCCTCTGGATTGCATTCACAATTCACCATCTTCACATTGCCTATAATTCACCTCCTTTACCCCAAAAACTTTGCATAACCATTGCTTCCAATATTACAATCATCCCACGAGAAACTGAAGACAATGCTCATGCAAATTTCTAAGATAAATAACTCTTAAAACAAGGGCCCATGAACCAAAACTGGCATTATATATTTCCAAAGAGGTCCTCTGATACTTTTTGTGAGCTCCCAGAGCCGAGAAATTCAGGTAAATCCACAAACTCCCACAAAATTTGCAACAAATCTTATCAGAAACCCTGAAAAAAGTTGTTGCTTAACTAATAAAAGTATAATATTATTTTGTGACCGAAAGTGCATAAAATCACCCAGGATTTCAGATCAAAGTTCCGCATTTTTGCTCAGTCAAGTCTTGTTTCTGACTGGTCAAAATATTGGGAAAAAATTTACTAATCCTTGTGAAATTTTTTATTTGCATTCTTGTGAAAAAAGAAAAAAAATCCAAGATTTAAGGTGAGTACATGTATCTGGCGGTTTGTCAAAGAATGAGGGTTTGCATGACTGGTGAACATGACCGGTGAGCAAAGTTTTAGGCCAGACATTGTCCATTGACCAGCTCTTATTTTAACCCCTGGGAGTAAAGACAAAACATACCTGTGTGTGGTTTTCAATACTTTCCTCATCTGATGGTTTGTTATTTCGCTGATTATCATTCTGATCTTCAGTCTGCCTTGACCTTCTTACATGTGAGGTGCTGTTTATGTTCTCATCACTCCCTTTCTTCTCAAACCTTGACTTAACAGTTGCTGTGTAGTTCGACTTCTCCTCAGTAGGAGTCTTCCTTGTTTCAGACGACTGATCCTCTTCTGAAGTAGATCCTCGCTTTATCAATGCCTCCTTCCCAGATTCTTCTTTACTACTGCTTCTGCGTCTTTCAGCTCGTTCCCTTCTCTCCTGTCTTTTTGCTGCTAGTGTATCTTCCTCTTCCTTGTCATCAGTAGCAATTACTTCCTTCTTCTTCTCATCAACAGAGTTTGCAGCTCTTGCAGCCCTACGTGCTGCTCTTCTCTCATTAATTGCCAACTGCACCTCTTCAATCTTGCTATCACTGGATGTTTTTTCTCCTTCATCCGTGGCTAGCTTATCGTCTGTTTTACTGCCACGTCGTGCCCTTCTCTCGGCTCTCTTAGCAGCTAATGATGATCGACTGCCAGAAGTTCCATCAGCTGAATCTTCATTTGTTTCACTGGCTTTACTCTCTGACATTGAACTTGCACTTTGTTTTCTTCTTTCACGTCTTGCTGCCCTCCTTGCTGCCAAATCATCCATCTTTTCCTCATCTTTAGCACTCTCTTTTTGTTCCTCTGTTCCTTTATTCTCAAACCGCGCCTTCACAGCTGCAGTGTAAGTTGACTTTTGCAGTTCATCCTCCTGTAATGGTTTCTGTACCGAGGAATAACTTTTTGGCTCTGCAAAAAGAAACAATAGAGTATGAATTCTTTTGTATTTTGCACATGCTAACCAGGTCAGTAAGGCTAATTATCATACATGTAAAAGAATATATTAATAGGTCACCATTATGAAGAGGTCCATAAATTTACAATAAATAGTGACAATAATATTCTAGCAAAAAACAATCACAGATATTTTTAAAGTATCTCTAAATGGAACACTTCTGTGTAGAATGTATATTTTAGCATCAGTTAAATCCACTGAAACTTACTATTCTTTAACATTTTTGACAATCTTTTGATGCATTGATTTTAATTTTCGTGTGTGGAATTTAATGAAGCTCATGATAATGACACAGTTATTTGTGTTATCTTGCTTTGCTTATTCAAAATGTTATAGAATGCCAATCCTCAATAATGTCCTGCCTAGGGTACAATTTTTCACAATTATGATAACAGTAATAACAGTAACTTGCCACTATAAGTATAATATACTTATACTGGCAAGTTACTGCAGCTGCAGTTTGGATGCAAGTCCAAACTTTCTGCCTTGCGGTTGGATATGCTCATCAGAGAGCATCTCCAAGCATTTTAATTAGAAGAAGTTTTCCACGTACATAGTATCAATACATGTGCATGTAAAGTAACAGTCTTAGATCAGATGACCTAACCACAATAACAGGTGACAATAGTCTATGTGGTACAAGTACAGTGTACATGTATGTTTCAATGACACTTTACAGCATTTACATGTAAGCAGTATTATCTCACCTTCACTACTCTCAGCTTTCTCTGTAGATTCCTTTTGTTTCTGTCTCAGAGCTCTTCTTGCACGATAATCCATAGGAATCTCCTTATCACCAGCAGTGCTTGCCTCACTAACAGCTGCCTCAGACTTTTCCGCTCTGACAGCTGTCTCAGTTTTTTCTTCTGGCATGACAACATCACTCACTGGTTCACTGTACTGCACCATCTCAGTTGTTGCAACTGTAATTTCACTTTCAGTTCCCAGTTCATTTTTGGTTTCTTCTTCTACATCTTCCTCTGATTCTGTCCCATGTTTTTCACCATTCATTTCATGTTCATCATCACCTTTGTTCTCTGTTGTTACAGACTCTTTTTCCATTTCCACCCCCTTTTCACTTTCTTCTTTTTCTTCAAAGGCATGTTCTTCGCTGGCCTCATGCTTCTCTTCCTCGTCTTCATTTGTTTTTGTTTCCTCGTCATCTCTTGACTTTGATGATGACTTCTTCCTCTTTTTCTTCTTTCCGTGTTCATCTCCGTGCTTCTCTTTCTTGCTTTTCTTCCGTCTATGACCATCCTCTTTGTCCCCTGATTCAAACTTAGACCTTCTTGATTTTGCCACTCCGAGTGCTGACACTTCAATGTCATCACCTCGCTCCTTTACAAATTGTTCATTTTGCTTGGCTTCAAATGATGAAACAACATATGATAGCGAACCCTTATCAGGAACTGCTTCTTCGAGCCTGGACTTATCACTTGTTTGGACCTCCAAATCCCTGGCCGCCTTTTCCTCAAAAGAGAGCTTATGTGATTTTGCTCTTCCAGTAATAGCCTCTTCCTCCTCAGAGAGCAATTTTTTTTCAGATGTTTTTGTCTTGGCTGCCTCAGCCACCTTTTCATCAAAGTATTCCTTGTGAGACATCGCTCTTCCTGAAAGATCATCAAGTTGATCACCTTTTGGCTGAGCTGTCTTCACTCTTGATGCTTCTTCTGCAAACTGTTCAAACATCTGTTTATGTGACTTTGCTCTTCCACTTAAGTCAGCTTTTTCTTCGTCTGCAGGTGCAAAACGTCCCCTCTGCTTTCCATTGTCATCTGATCCAAATTTCTCAAAGATTGCCCGTCGAGAGGAAGCCTTCCCACTAAATACATCTTCTTCAAGATGTACCTTCCGAGCAGTCTTAACTTGAGATTCTTCCTCAATCTTTTGCTGGAAAATGTTGCGATGCGCTTTTGCTCTGCCTGAAATATCTACATCTTCAAGAATTTTTCGTTGCATTCTTGGTGATGTCCCTTCACCTTCTGTGGCTATTTTCTCAAATAATTCCTTTTTGCTGCGAGCTTTTCCAGAGATGTCTACCTCTCCTTCTTGCTCACCAAAGATCTTCCTTGGCAAGGAAGGAGAAACCTGAGCACTCAGTTTAGCTTGTTGTTCAAAGAGTTGCTTGTGCGACTTAGCTCGGCCAGACAAATCAATTTCTTCATCTTCTACTTTTATCTTTGGTGCTGAAGTTCTTTCTTGCGAGGCAGCAGCTTTCTCAAAGGTATTGCGTCGATTAGTTGTCCCTGAAAACAAGTCCTTTTCTTGCTCTATGAGTTTGGCTCTGGCTGTACGAGTTTCACTGGCTTCTTGAGCTTTCCTCTCAAAAAGGGATTTACTTGAAGCTGCATATCCATGTTCTGGACGTTCCCCAGC